TTGCTACTGTAACATGAGCGATGTTTCGTGTCTCTTAGTTCCGTTGATGCAGGCTGTTGCGGCTGAGAGGACCGTGTGTTAATTTCTGGAGTCGTTGGTAAGGTTTTTCGACTTTTTTACTGTCTGTTGGTACTGTTTCGCTCTGAATTGCTCAGGACATTGATGACACAGAATGACAGGGCTGATCAAAGTGCTATCCCGAGCATTTATTCAAAAGTAGTTTTGTACCGTCTACAGTTTTAATACCTATAATGCTTTTGTTTGGTTTAAATCTTCAAGCGGTTGTGGTCTTACCAGTTGCGTGCCGTTTCACCTCGATTAGCTAGTCTACTGTGCATCACATTTGAACGTGAACTTTTTGGAAAATATCTGATTTCAGTTTTTAGGATTTGATCATAAAACCTGTAATGTCTTAGTTGCTATAGAGCAACAGGCACCAGAGATTGCAGCCGGTGTGCATCTGAACAAAAAAGAGGAAGAAATCGGCGCAGGGGACCAGGTAAATATTGAATCAGATGTTTTAGTGAGGAGTTCTTTGTTTTACCGGTCCGTTAACAGTCTGCATTGTTAAATCGTACTTTGTGTTTTAGACAAAGTGACTGTTGATTTATAATGCATTTAATTACCATGATGTTTTATTTGTGATACACTCTTATTTTCATAGTGCCGTTTCGTTCATAATGAAGAAAGCATTTCCATTATGGTGTTGGTATCCCTTCTACTTGACCTTGCTCCACGAATTGTATTCTAAGACACGACTGTGCCACCTGTAAGGATAGGTGCAACGAACAGGACAAAACTTCAGTTGCTTTGTTTTTCTTAATTTATCATTTACTATCTTTGTTGACGTTCCGGTCGTGTAATTTACTGTGCCGTAATAATATTTAGTTGTAAACCATTCTATTTCACTTTTAGGGACTGATGTTTGGATATGCCACTGACGAAACTGAAGAATGCATGCCTCTGACGTTGCTGCTCGCCCACAAGTTGAACGCACGTTTGCATGAGCTCCGCCGCAAGAATTTGTTGCCTTGGGTTCGGCCGGACTCTAAGAGCCAGGTATCGTTTGCCACTGCGGTAAAACATGTCGTCTTTGGTTCTGAGTGCAGTTGTAGGTTACCGTGGAGTACAAGTTGGACCACGGGGCATGCGTTCCGGTTCACGTCCACTCGGTGGTGCTCTCGGCACAGCATGGTCCAGAGGTGACGTTGGAGTTTCTGCGTCAACAGCTGATCGAACACGTCATTCTGCCAGTCATTCCAAGGCAGTACCTGAACGATAAGACTGTCTTCCACGTCAATCCCTGTGGTTCCTTCGTTCACGGTGGTCCGCTTGGAGATGCTGGTCTCACTGGCCGCAAGATCATTGTAGACACTTACGGTGGATGGGGGGCGCACGGCGGCGGCGCTTTCTCCGGCAAGGATCCGACCAAAGTTGACAGGTCCGCCGCTTACGCCGCCCGTTGGGTGGCAAAGTCATTAGTTAAAGCTGGTCTTTGCCGTAGATGCCTGGTGCAGGTGAGCGCAAAACAGATTGCTTATTTTGTGTCTTGCAAATGTAGGAGTAAAAGTATATTACTGGTATATTAAATATAATGTATTATCTATGCGTATATGCATACCCACATATACATTCTGATTATAATCTTCATAACCACATTGTAATTATGTTTCACGAAGCGCCACAATGTAATGATTCCATTGCGATCCTGATGTATAGCCTTGAAACATCCACCGTTTTAAACCGTCACGAAATGTTGGATGCTTTACAGCAACACTGTTTCCGCAACATTCCAAAAGTGCGATGGTTCCATCGAATAAAGAATGAAAAAAATCTTGGAGATGACCAGCCTGAGAATGCTGCTTGAAGAAATGAGGCCGCGGTGTCTGTAGTAGTTTGACAGAACCATTTGGAGAGATAGAAGCAGAATGGAGACTTATCCAAAATTCTTCTCCTCTCGGAAGCAAAAATTGGCTACAGACGCGTCTGAAGGCAACCTCGCATCCTAAATTTGCTGCTGTAGGCGGACTTGTGTGTGACACTGAATATTATCTTTGCCTCAGCAACCAACATTGCCTAAATCATTTCGAGAAGCCAAAACGTCAGATATCATTAATCTGGGTAGTCGGTCTTTTTTCCTAATGCCAAAATGACGAGGACAACAGCAATAACTGTTATGTACAATCTCCAACGTTTCAGATCATTGATTCATCACAGGAAACTATATCAAACAATCAGAATTGCTACAATAATATGATTCGATACGTTAGACAGAAGTTTTGCGGTGTCGTTTCGCACAGGTTTCTTGCAATATAATAGTAGAAAAGTTACAATTACCATTTTTATTGAATATGTGTAGGTAACATCATTACAGACAACTGTTTAATATATCTTTATGGTGCATGATATCTTTATATATGTGCCGGTACGTATGGGTATATGCAGAGTGGTAATTTATTCATAGAGGTTGGGCTACATCATGCCGAATCTGACGGTGAATCTGTTTCGCTGCTCAGCCTTAGTAATTTCTCGTTGATTTGCCTCATTACTGCCCAGGTCTGAGTGTAAACCGAAACTATGGCGTAAGCGTAATTCTGCAGGAGGCAAACTTACCACGTACTTATTCAGAACTTAGGATGGCGCTTGTAATGTATCTTTGGCGTGTTTTTACCTATCATCATCAGTGTAAAATTCGGGCTTAAATTATTGTTGGTGGATGCTTAAAGCAAAATAGGGTATATTTTTTCCTTTACTGTAATAGGGAACTGATCCATTTCATGTTGTGTAAGCATGAATTGGCAAGGGGTAAGGGTTTACGTATGTTAATGTGTGAACGTTTGGTGATGAATCAGCGGATTTAGATGAAATTTCAGCATGACTAACTCGGCCTTGATTACCGCCTGTTCTGCCCCGCTGTTACTAATAAGTACTCATAAAAATCCATATTCTGGGAACCGGAGCGATGCTCTGTCAGCAACCAATCACTGAGTGCTAGGTAGAAAAGCTAAGTGTTCCCTTGGAGTGTAGGGAGGATGGTAAAATCAGTTATAATTGCTATTAACAGTGTATTATTTTTACGGAATATCGCTATTCGAATGTTTGGCATTGGCTATTGCTTTAGAAGCTGAGTCAGGATTGTAGAGAGTAAAATTTTCCCCATCGTATTCGACAGTTTCATTTATTTCGTTATGCGTATACTTCAGATAAATTTGCGTGATGTTTTGGCACCCCCTCGTTGTCCAAAGATCCCAAGTGGGCTGTTATGCATGAGTCGGCAAAGTATATTTGCTTGATTTTTTCGTGTTCCGTTTAA